AAAAATAACAAAATAAATCAAATCATAGACGTCTATATCATTTTATTCGGAATAGAGATTAACTTGATCATGACATTAATTCTCTTATCTTGTTTTGAAAATTGTTTGTCTAACACGATTTTTATGTCATTCACTATCTGACACCGTAGATAAGATTTTTGGTGGATAGTTGCCGTAACAACCGAAAGTTTTCGAAGGTAAATTTTCATTCCTTCTTTCAAAATAGCAGTAGGAATGTAGAATTCTTAATCCTCGTAAATCGATATGAATTCCAAATAATAAGTCTATGATATTGATGCTAGGTTATATGCATTTTGCCAGGGGAAGATGCGAATTTTCGATAGATAAAAGTTCACAAACAGTACCACGAATCCAAAAAGAACTGTAGATAAAGAATGGCTTAGCAAGTTTTAAGCGTTTTTCACTTTTTTTAGTTTGTTGTTAAATGTATCGAAACGTTAACAATTTATTGTAAATGTAGATATTATTTTTTACTTTGACTGAAAACGTCCAAATAAACAATGATATTTAGATACTTTTTATAGTATATAGATGATTTACTCGACTTATAATTGTTTAATTTATAAAAAGTGATAAACTCATATCATATGAACNTTTCTGTTAAAATAATATTATTTTAAAAAAGTATATATTTTTAAAGTCTCGATAGTTGACCCGATTTAAAATTGAGAAATAGAGGAAATTAATAGTTTTCGTTTTAAAAATTCTGCCAGGAAATATAGCCCGATTTCATAGAAAATATTTCCTGCAAATTCGCTTTTTTAATATCCTTTTTTAATTATTTGATACTTAAAATTTTAAAATTTAAGAGGAAATGAAAGTTTCTGCAATAACATAATTTAACTGACATATAACAAAGTTGGAGTTTTTTAAATAGACGAGGAAAAAAAAAAGTGGATAAAAGTGCGAGGAGAGAGGCGAATTACGTAGCTTCCTGTAACAAACGAAAGTTGCACCCTTTGTTAATTTATTTCAGTCTGCCCCCTTAATCGTCAGCACTCATATTCCCCTCCCCACTCCCCATTTTCCCTGCAAGCATTTGGAATCGACCGGATCTCGCGAGAATCTCGGGCTGCCGCAGCGGCTGCCGGTCGATGTCACGTGTCGTCGCGTCAGTTCGTCAGAGGGTTGGCGAAGGAAAGTTGCGTTTGGAAGTTGTAGTTCGGGGTTGTCAGTTTTATCGATGTTATTGCAGAGAAGATGACCGAGACAATTTTCAGTACAGAGTCCACAGACAACGAATCGGTAGCTAGAATGGGCACTCCCGAGCCACCTCTTGCTGCCAAAACTGATGACTGGGAAGAAATAGTCAAGGTTGTCTTCAAATCTTTCGCCATGTGTCTTATCGTTTGTTGTGCCGTATTTGGCAATTTGGTAGTGATCATTAGCGTATTTAGACATCATAAGCTTCGAATAACTACTAATTATTTTATCGTATCTTTGGCATTTGCTGATATGCTAGTTGCACTTTTTGCCATGACATTCAACGCGAGTATGGCAATACTTGGCCATTGGCCTTTTAACACCACCGTATGTGACTTTTGGAATTCCTGCGATGTACTCTTCTCTACTGCATCGATCATGCACTTATGTTGCATAAGCGTGGATCGTTATTATGCCATCATTAAGCCCTTGGAATACCCAACCAAAATCACTGGAAGAACGGTGGCCATCATGCTAACTTGTGTATGGGTGTCGTCCGGTCTTATATCTTTCATTCCAATCTTTCTGGGATGGTACACTACCGAAGATCATCTAAACCATTTAAGAAGTAATCCACACGAATGTAATTTCGTTGTTAATAAAACTTACGCAATTATCTCTTCGAGTATTTCTTTCTGGATCCCTTGCTTCATCATGTTGTTTACTTACTTAAGGATATATCGAGAAGCCACTCGACAAGAAAAGATGTTGCTCAAAGCCCAAGTGACACCTCACTTAGGGTACAATGGTGCACGTAACAGCACTGATAATTCTGCTACAAAACTCGTTCAACCTCCATCTCATCGACCTTCTCATGCCGAAGATCCAGAGAGTGGTCAGTCTACACCAACAAAAAGAACTATAAATAAAATGAAAAGAGAACACAAAGCAGCAAAAACTCTCGGAATCATCATGGGATGTTTTATATTATGTTGGCTCCCTTTCTTCTTATGGTACGTTTCAATATCAATGTGTGGTGACGATTGCCCATGTCCACCCATTGTTGTAGATATACTTTTTTGGATAGGATACTTTAATTCTTCTCTTAATCCCGTCATATATGCTTATTTTAATCGCGAATTTAGAGAAGCTTTTAAGGAGACAATATTAACAGTTTTTTGTTGTTGTTTGCGGTTACACGACGAGCACAGGAGCCATACAGTACAATTCAATTGCACGTACAGGTCCACTCAAGATATTGGACTGGTGGAAAATAAGTACATAAGGGATTGACAATGCACCAAAGTTTAGTCAATAATTCTACCTCTAGGTGAGTAAGTTGAATTATTTTTAAAATAGAATTTAACCTACTAAAAATAACTTTCCCTTCGCTAGATCCCAAATTAGAATATCTAGCTTTTTGTCAAGATCAAAGCCGCTCTTTGCAGTTGGTAAAAATGTCATCAATACTTTTCACATTCGGTTGACTCTTTTTAATTCTGTCAAACAAATATCCCGACAAATCGACAAAGATTTCAATATATCTAATAGATTAGATATTGTACACGTCGGCACTTTTTATTTCTAGATAAGTTGTACTACGTTGTTTTAGCTTTTCGGTATCTTGTATTTTTAACTCTTTTTTTTATTATTTTATTTTATTTTTTTGAAAACGGACTGCGGTAGTTATCAATGCGCTTGCGTTATACTAGAGAAGATTACGCAAACTCAGTGTGTGGCGTGGGAGTGAAGCAAAAAGTATCATCTCAGCTTTCTTAGATCAATAAATGAAATAAATCTAAAGTAACATGACTACTGTCATTAAATGGCGAATTGGTGAGATTTTTTCAAATCGCATCTACCTCGAAAAATCTGTATGGAAAATAAAACTTTCAACTTATTTTCCATTGTCGTTTCAACATCATCATCTATACTCTTTAATTGCTTTGATGCAATTACAAAGATGATTCATCTAATACTTAACTTGTGATATAATTAATGTGAAACTTAACGTTTGAATAGTACCTTCGTAATTATAGATTTATTTCATTATGATTGGTTAATAATAATTACAGTTATTATTTTTTAAAATAAATTCGAAGTATACTTTAAAGTTAGAATTGAGATTAAAACAATTGTTGGTTGTTAATGATTCATTCACAATGTATAACAGCAGTTACACATCTGGTAATAACATGTATTTTTAAAATATTATGAAATATTATTTAAACTCAGAATGGCCTTTAATAATTTTAATTATTTTTTCTGTTGCCATAACTTTTTACTGGATTTATGAACTTTTTACACATAATAACTATAGAAATAGAAGAATGATGAGTTCTTAACTTTTATATTTTGTATAAATGTAAGAAATAGTGAACTTTTAAGCTTCGTCAATGATTAATTGTTTAAAAAAAAACTTGTATAAAAGAGTAATTTCTCAACCAGTGAGTCGCGATCCCTGAAAAATTGTGAATTGTATTCTTAATTAATGACTCATTCTATCGTTACTCAAGAGAAGACAGACTAAAATCGATTAAAACTGAAAAAAAAATAATTGAAAATTATTTAAGTTGAACAACTTTTATAATATTTTAAATTAGAAATTTGTTATGTTAAGAAGAATAATGTTTAAGTTTCGTAAGCTGTTTTATGAAATTTATTGCACTTTTGCGGATTCGAATAAACAAACAGGAAGGGTTTTTTCTTATATCACGTTTCAGCATAAACGTGGTTATTTCAAGTGTAAATCGTGATTCGTACCTTACATGAAATTGCTTTAAGGAAAGCGGTTTTCTTGACCCCACGTGATCTATAGCAGATGTTTTATCACTCGAGCGAAGTACAATTTATAAATACTAATTTGAAGCTTTAATAGATAGAAATGATAATTATTTATTTGTATGTTAATAATATATTTTATAAAAATGTCAATTTTTCATATTTATTTTGTTTCTAATTTATTCTTAATACCTTTACAAAAGTGAAATCATAGATCAAATTTTTAGTATTCCAGCATAAAATTAGCAATAACAGCTTAATTATTTATATATTATCGACGTTTTCATGCTGAATAGCATTTTTCAAACAAATATAAAATTACATTCAATTATAGTAATCTAATTATCTTTTAGAATCTTCATACAAGTAAAATTAATAACGATGATGATAATATTTTAAAAATAAATTCTAAGATAAGTTTACGCATTTAAAGCTCAAAATCTACACAGATTTATATGTATAACAAAGTTATTTCCTAACAAAATCGGTCATTAAAAGACGTAAACATTAATCACATTCACCGTCAATTAACGTGGAATCTTAGTATCAATTCAAAATTTGATAATGATTACACTTTCCAACTGTAGAAAGTTAATAGAAATTTATAGACACTTATTTTATATTTCTAATTAAAATTTTCATGAAGATATGGATCCTAAAAATAGCTCTTTAACTAAATTATTATTAGACATATATTTATGAAGGAGTATTAAACATAAACATTTTATCGATCGTTAACAAAATTCCTCACTCGTAAATTGTTATATTAAGTATTTAATCGAAATATTTCATTCATATAACTTATCAAATGATAATTTTAAATCGAGTAATCGCTTAATTACATTTATATAATAATTGTTGAATGAGTTAATAAAAAGTATAAGATAATACTTAGTTCCCTTTACGGATCTTGTTTCAAGTACAATACAAGATACAGCTAAAGATAGTGCTATATAATTTGTATAAGTAGATATATAACATATATACATAGATATACTGGATGACCTACATCTACTTATTTAATTCTTCGATCGGAAGTAAATTTATCTAGTTCCTATAAATGAAGATTTAACAGCAATATCAATTGTTATTTCTATATTTTAATAATGACTATTATAATAAAAAAATAAAAAAAAATGTTTATTTGTAAGTGGTATATCAGTCAAGGACATATTTACTATCATTAAGTTGAAGAATTTCAGTAGAGGAACAATGAAAACGGATACTTATCTACAGTAATGACGAACAACAATAGTTAATGTATACTTCTATAAGATTTTTTTAATGTTAT